TAACTAACCTAGGTGAATTGTTATGGTGATCAATAAAATGATGACAAAACGAAAACTTCAAAGCTGGGTAAATGCTATAATAAAAGTCACTAAGAAAGCAGCTTTGCCCTCGCCTTAGTTTTAAGGTGCTTTGTCAACTGACTCTTGAAATAGCTAAAATCTGTGGAGTTGCTGATCATGATAGGGTGTGTCAACGCACTTAAAAACGCTGGCAGCACTGTCTTGGAAGGTCCCTGATTGTAATAAGGCCTGCAACATAACGTGACTAGATGATCTTAGCGTCCTTGTGTAGCATAACGGTTGTTCAACCTAAGATAGGAGGGCCAATCCTCAAGGTACAGTGCCTTGAAAACATTATATGGCAAATGCTGCTTCTTGCGTTTACCAACTGGGTGCCACCCAGCTTAAACAAATCTTGCTTGGTTGCTTAACATATTTAAAAAAAAAAAAACAGCAGCTGTACTCGTTGAAGTCTCTCAAGACAAAACGTGCAGGACTTTTATTGAAAATGAATGGGAGTTCCAAACTCTGAGATTTAGACACTGACGAAAACGATGAGAACTTAGAAATACCGGGAAAAGGTGATAATGCGTAAATTTGACAAGCTTCACTTCACGATAGCTGTCATATCCCGTATCTCGCCACTTTTCCTTTACGTTTCCCGCATCCCAAGCTCTTAAAAGCAGGAAATCCCGCTCCCGCCCGCTATCAAAATTCCCGCTTCCCGCTCCTGTTTTGAGCTCGCATCCCTCGTATCACCACAGAAAAATAGCCAAATCCCGCATCCCGCCAAACCTCTTGTGGACCCTCATTTGGGTCAGGTGAATGAATCGCGATGCCTATGAAACACCAGATAAAACACCACCAGGTTTTCAACTCAGATCAAACAATTGCATTTTAATGAGATATTTTATTGATTAACACAACTCATGGACACAATGCAATACCAGAGAATACATGTCACTGCAGAATTTCTTTGTTGTTTCATTTGAAAAGACATGGCAACTGACTCGGGCTTCGTGTTTCATCACGGGTTCGAATTCTAACGAAGACCTTGAAACAGACTGAGACAGTGCTTTCATCTATTTCTCAGTGTTTGGAACCCGTGAAAGCACTCGCCCTCGTTTTCATGACATATTACCTGAAGTTGAAGTTAAAGTTAAAGTTATACCACTACACAAATTTTTAATGTTTTCAACGCGGCGTTTCGTTTATTCAAGAGCGGCGTTTATTTAACATCATACTCAAATCTCGCTTACGAAAAATCATTTAGAAATATGATGTAAAACACAAAGATGTCTAAAGTTCCAATCGATACCAATGTCTAGGTTTTTTGCAGCCTCGTTCCCAGTCGTCCTCGGCGATTTGGGACGTCACCTGTCAAGCTTGTCGGGAACTCAGATGGCGCGAACTGGCCTGGGTACGAGGCTGGGTTTTTTGCTGAGATAGAATCATGATTGTTTGAATGGTGTATGGTATCGATTATAAGGTTATTACCGAGTGGCATTTAGATCAGGTACTAAAGAACTTAATTACTTAGTACAATCTTTTTTTGTACTGAGTTAATCACTTACTGTTTCAATGATTGTGTTTGCACAAATTTACCCGTTTTCTTTTTGTACAGATTGGTTTAAATTCGTATCTTGAAAATCTTCCCGATAAGGACTATATTATGAATTTAATCCAAAAAAGGTGAAAATCTACAAAGCCCCGCTGGCCCCCTTTTGATAAGCCCCTGGGCACTCTTCAACAGCAATGATAGGGAAACTGAGGATTAATACTTGTGGATAAGTTTCGTTCAGAATTGTTGCGGTATCATTTAGGGGCATTTTAAAGTCCGAGCAGAATAATAATGGAAACTATTTTTCTTTTATTCCGCTGATTCTTTAAAAACCTGTTGATGGTTATAATAAGTTTGAGTCGCCCCCACAAACCTAAATTCTGGTGTCTTTTTGGGGTGTTTGTAGAGTTTTTGACGATCATCCCATAATTTAAAAGGCATTCTGGTCAAAAGCATTACTCTAGTTAATTTTTCCACTTTTTCTTAATAAATATCCAGCCGAGATTTCATTCAATCAAAAAACCTCTCCATTAAGTTGAAGTTGTTGGTAGAATATTTTTTTGACAATTTCTGGGCGATTCTTGGGATGTTTTTAAGGTATAAAAATAAGGGGGGAAAAAAGTGGAAAATATTGGATTTGTTTTTTTTTAAAATTAAGACATGTAATAATTAGTAGACAAATAACAGATAGTCCACCACCACAACAAGATGCCTCTGATCCCATTAGCGGACGAACTGGTTTATGTGTTTACCTTTTCTACACTATTTATTTACTTCCCAAGTCGACATCATTCCTACCCCTTCTCTCCCCCCCCCTGTCAAAAAAAGTTACCAGCATGCCACCCGGGCTTAGTCTTCCAGAAGCACTCAATAAACTGTTAACCTCGTTCCTAGGGTCTTTTCGAATTCTTATATGGTGGTGGCAAAGAAGCCCCTGTGGACTTGGTTGACCCAGAGGAGACTACACATAGAGATTTCGATAACTTTCAAGAACAGCGTGGAGTGTGTGGAGTTAGGGTTAGGGTAGTGTGGAGACCAGATTGTTGCTAAGTTTTCCATCATTTCTGGCTGACAAAATGGATCATCTATAGATCATTCTAAATCTTATACCACCAATTGAAAAAATATACGCCATTATACTGTTAAAAACGTTTCAAACTGTGAATAATAACACATTTGTTCTTCGTTTTTCATTGTTTTTGTCAGAGTTCGTTACTTAGTAACACGATGAAAGTCTCCTGACAGAATGTGTAATTAATTCAGTATTATTCTTTTTTTCTATTATTCTCTAAGATGAATTCTCCTTTTATTTTCGATTTTTAAACATCTCAATGCATTTCTTTGTTTAAACGCCTCAGACTTGTGTTAAGAATGACTTGTTTCGAAAACCAAATGGAGCAAACGACTGTATCTAGCCGATTTGACGCTTATGTGCAGTAAATCAATCTATATCGAATACATGGAAACTGTAAAAAGATAGGTTATTCTCGGTTATTACTATTTCAAATCGCGGTAAAACGTGGTACACTCACTTTAGTTAAATTTGCATGAGTTACATTTATTAGCCCAAAATGTGAAGTCTATCTAATCCATCCTCTAGATTAAAGACTTCACCAGTAGCTTTTCATCGACTTTGAACCCAAACTTTTTAAGGTGGTTGTTTACCCACAAAATAAAAAATATATTTCAAATGTTCCTCACGCACTGACATGTGAAATGGTAGTATCCATTTCGGATTTATTAGTTTTTGACATCGCGGAAAAAATAAAAACAGTTATATCTGTCGGCGTGTTACCACTTTTCTCATTGCGATGACTTTCTCGTGTTACCAAACATTATTGACGCACTCCGAAAATATATATTGCGTAAATCCATCACAGGCCTGGAAGAAATCATAATTTTCAACGCCTATCAAACGTGTATATGAATTACATTCGGATAATGTTTGCTTACACACCTGCAATAGCCTCCAGCTGAATAGACACTACGCATGCTCACTATTCAGTGGTGACAATCTGCTGAATGACAGCTCTGAAAAAGTTCAAGTTTTTTGCATGAAATTTTCAATCGCTTAGCTTTCGAATGCAAATCATGCGCTCTTGCGAACCGCGCGGCCAAATGCAAATAGGGTATACAAACATTGCCATAAATCGAAGGGTTTTTTGGCAAGGTGCTCTTTTTCGGAGGCAAAATAGTCATTTTTTTTTTTGCCTTTCTGATGTTTGCCTCTCACGTAACCACCAGTGAATTAAGGCTAAAAAGCCTATTCTTGCCGCAGGAAAGAGGAATCATGTGATGGGAAAAGGTTATGTTCAATTGCTTGTCGCCGCTTGTTGACTGACCTACAAGGAAACGAACCACCTGCCAGCCGCGAAATTTCAAGATTTTCTCCTTTCGGATTTTTAGCCGAGTTTTTGCCCACAAAACCACAAGGGCAGCGACCTAAACGATTAATCTGATTTTTTCATGCGATTTGCAGCCATGTTTATAGGAAAGTAATCTCTGTTTTGGCGAACAAGAGGAATTCCCTTTGAAAATGAGTGAACTGAACAAGGCTGCCTCTAAGGAAGTTATTAGAATAAGAGAAGAAGACGCGGTAGAAGAGGATTTCAAAATGGAGGAGGAAGAATCGCCAGGCGGTTCAAATGATCAGGACTGCGAACTACACAAGCAACTTAGCCAACAATCATCATCTCCGCCGCAAACTTCGAAACGTAAAGACCGCATTTCCATCAATGTTGGCGGTATCAGACACGAAACATATCGCAGTACACTTAAAAATATCCCTGATACCCGTTTATCGTGGCTGGCGGACGCTTCGGCGGGTTCTGTAGACTACGACGCCGATTTAGGAGAGTATTTTTTCGACCGACATCCGGGCGTTTTTTCCAATGTCTTAAACTACTATCGTACGGGTAAGCTGCACTGTCCGTTAGACGTCTGTGGGCCTTTGTTTGAAGATGAGTTGAATTTTTGGGGCATTGATGACCAACAAGTTGAATCATGTTGCTGGTTAACGTATCGACAACATCGAGATGCACAAGAAACTTTAGCTGCTTTCGAAGGAGTAGAATTTGACAATGATTTTGATGATGATGAGCCACCGGATTTCTGCAGGTATGGTTTTGCATTTGCAGCCGAAGCAGTGCCCGATACTACATGGTGGCAGAAATACCAACCACGAATTTGGACTTTAATGGAAGAGCCCTATTCATCGAAGCTCGCTAAGGTAAGTGTTAACAAAGAATGGTGAACCGCTTTTGATGCTACTAACCTGAAAAAAAAAAATAAAACCTTTCAATTTGAGCTTATTTACGAGGTAAAAAAGTTCACCAAGCGGTACAATGACATTTTCAGGTCATTTTGACGAAACTTTCAATTTAACTTCCGACCGTGTCAAATATGAATTTATGCTATGTAGATGTCGAAAACGGCACTTTTTTTGCCATTGTACGCAAAGCTAGATTGAGTTTACAGCTTGTGAATGCAACAGTAAAATTTTTGAGAGTATTTTGTAATTGTAGCGATAACACAAGTTGCAAAGGAAGGTTAAATTAAAAGCTTATACCTAAAACGTGATTTTACTCATGGAAAGATACAACCGTATTATTACAAGACATCTAACCTCCGCTCACGAAATAGAAACGTTAAAAATTAAACATAAAATTTTCTTGGTCTTCAGAAATTTAAGCGCCGTTCAAAATGATTTTTTGAGAGGAAATACATTTTGCTTGAAGGTTTAAAGTGTTTACGTTAATTCTTGTCGAGCGGAGCACGTAGTTATAAAATACTATAAAAAAGGGATCAACAAATTGCGGCATAAAATCGAGGAAAAAATCATCATCAGATTTATTGGAGTCAGCGAAAGACGAAGGTTTCTCCCCCTAGTTCCTACTTTGTGGTTTATAGGAAAGAGTGGACGATACAATGTTGATTTGTAGGACAGATAAATTTCAAATATATCTGTATCTGAATTAATGATCTAGGGTAGATTGAAAACGCGATGCATTCTAGTAAAAAATAATTCCACCTCAACTGAAATTTTGTTTTTTTGCGTTTTTTCACCTTTGTTAGATCAAGCTGAGCTCGGATTTCAGATGTTTAAAGATCTGAAGTTTAGACTCAAATTTTGTGCTGGTTACTCGGTAAACTTTAACCGAAAGCGCTAGAAATAAAATATTTATGAGTTCTAGCATTAGAACGAGTGATTTATAAGCATCCTGGCGAGCTACGAATTCTTTATATCCTGAGAATTATAGTCTGCTTGATTTAATGGTCTAAAATATTCCACGTAATTAGACAGTTTACACATCTTGAATAGCACAGTTAGAACCTAGTCAACTGAACTAAGCGATTCCTTCAAACTTAAGCCAATTAGATGTGTAAAAAACCCAGTAAAATATGTTTTAACCCCTTTTTTTCTTTTACATATTAAGAGAGAGTACAAGTCCTTCCCAGCATGACTATTGCTTGATTATTGGAGGAAACCAGGAAGGGGTATATCAGGATTTGAAATCCCCACTTTTGTTTTCAAAAAGGAGGCACCAGTGGGTTTTAAAATTGCGTTGAAGAAATACATTATCGCTCCGCTCTTCACTTACTCCAGAGCAAGTGCTTTAATTTCAGAAAACGATATGTCGAGCCCTTTAAGGTATATTAACTGGAAAACTCCCTCAGTCTAAAATATATTATGAAATGTTTGATGCCGAAATTTCCGTTAAATGCTTGCTGCGGACGAGAATTTTAATGCATGTAACGGATTCGAAGCGTTTGGTCACGAAGAAATGATGCGCTATCACAAATTCAGAGAGCGTAATTATAGTGTTTTGTACTTGAAGTTATAATCTAGGTTATTATAAGGGCTTAACGCCATTACGCGTTAAATTGTCTTGAGTCTAGGTTTTTTTCTCTAGCACTTAGAGTTGAGGTCAGCGAAATGTGTCAACCGCTTAAGAAGTAAACTTAATGTTTCTTTTGATCTAATAAACACACACGCTGAAATCAGAAAACATACAGGAAATAACCTCACGTGTTGAAATTTTAAATCGCCTCACTTACAAACTTGTCCTAAAGTAGATTAACAAAATATTCCGTAACAACGAAAAAAGAAACATGCATAATTAATCTCATTCATCAGTGTAATTTCTCTCCAAAATATAACCACGAAGTCAATTTTTTCCATATACTTTGTGAATTTTGACATCGAAGAGCGCAGACCAAGCGGCTGTTATCCTTTCTGTCTACATACCGTCTTTGTGTACTTCTGTTTTCTTTATATTACAGTCATTGTTCGTTATTACCAGCACCGCTGTTGCCGTTGGAGATAACAAGAACTGTAAACTAATTTTGCTCGCTGTTTTAAACAAGAGATTTTGATTCGAAATTCTTGGCAATTTTTTCAAACTGAGCACAGATGACATGGCAACTTTTAAGCCGCTGTGAGCCGACTTTTGAATGTATTTTTCAGTCTTACAAGATATATTCATTGTCATCGGAGCGGTTAATAACCGCGCTTATCTTATTCATAATTAAACACAAGACAAACAGTTTAGGTAATCCAAGCTAATCCGTTTTTATAACGTTAGTTTTATATTTGCATTTAGAGAGCAGTATGGTCTTTATCCATTCACACCACATTAACCATTTTTCACACAGAAGGGAAAGACTTTTAAGTTAACGGAAGCAAATTGCTGCGTTGGTTCGGCACCGTCCACGCGAGGTGCGTTTTTCCGCCCGACATAAGAACGATGCACCATATTATCTCGTAAAAGATTTCTGCTCTACTGTGATAGTATTTTGGTATATACTGCGAATAGCTTTTGGCCAGAGAAGGCACTTTGTTGAAAACGTAAAACACAAAAAGTGCTTTTTTTCAAAGTTTACTACCTGTTTCGCGCTGAATTTTGTAAATTTGACAATTTTATAGTCGAAAATGGCTAATTTGAAACAAACCGGTGACTTTCCTTAAAGAATAGAGAAAAATTTGAAAACCTGAGGAGCTTCAGTGCTGGCTTTGGGGATTTTAATAGAACAGACGTTACTTGGCTCTAATGTGGATAACAACACTTATCCAAACGGGCCAGATTAAAGCAGGTAACAACCTGTTTTGGAGTTGTGCTAGGTAAAAGTAAAGTTTATTTTAAAACTTCATCACTAATAAAAGTACACAAGTCAGGTGGAGGACCGCGTCATACAGGATGAATACATATGAAGTCAAATCGTGGACAAAATGTTCGACTTGTCGTTTCGTTGTTTCGTCGTTTCTTTGTGTCACTTCTTCGCTTCGATCCGTCGTCTTGTCGCCCCGGTGTCAACGTTTCTTTACTTCGATTTGCCACTTGACTCGTCGTTTCGTTTTCGCCTATTTGACCGCGCTAGCCTGGGAACGAGAAAAGGTAGAATTCTGCCTTGGAAGCCTCGGAAGTAGTTTACTCTCTAGACTGCAAAACAGTCGGTTTTTTTCTCAAAATAACACACAATATGACGAACTTGTCAAGGGATGAAGAATTGAAAACCTACCTTCGCAAGAGTGTACAGCTCATTTTCAACCGCGTAAACGAACAGTTTGATAGAAGTGAGCTATTTAGTCATTTTATTAAAAACTGAATCTTTGGATAATGCAATTCTAGCGTTTTGATTGGCTTAGCCATCATGGTATATGAGCATTATACATGCTCTCCATATATGGTCAGTGTACGCGTCAGTTCAAAATTGGAAGCTAGCTGAGACTTTTTTCGCGAAGGATAGAATGACACCCGAAGAAAATCGTTTTAATTCTTAGAATACTAGAAAATGCGATTTGATCGAAAAAAAAAAAACACAAGCAAACAAAAGAGCCACAAGAGTTTGTTTGAAAGTTAATCGAAAGCTACTAAAGAAGACAAGTAAGCTTATTGTTTTTTCATGATGGCGAAGCCACTCACCGATCTATAACTTCAGCCTGTTCAGTGTTCTTTAGCCTTGCGGACACCCCGCTATAACGGACACCTCAATAAAACGGACAGCAACTAAATCCCGAGCGAAAACAAATCACAGACGTTTGACTGAAATAAACTCTCGCTATTACGGACTCTCGCTAGTTTCACGAGCTTTTCATTTTTTTTTGTTCCCACCGGGTTGGTAAGTTTGTTGCTGAGAGCTCGTCAATCGTCAACAATTATTTGACAAGCTCTCAGAAACAAACTTTGCAACTCGGTGGAAACATAAAATAACGAAGAAGCTTGTGAAAGAATATATATCACTCTGTCAAGAACGTGTGTAATGAGATAGCTCACTTCACTCTCACTCTCATCAAACTGTTTGTTTACGCCCCTGTAAAAGAACTGTACACTCTGGCGGAGGTAGGTTTTCAATTCTTTAGACCTCAAGTGACGAGTTCGCCACATTGCCCAAAGACTACCTCTACTTCTACTTCTTCTACTTTGTCTTACTTCATGTAACTCAGTGAATTATACCTGTTCCCGTTCCCAGGCTAGCGCGGTCAAATAGGCGAACCGAAACGACGAAACAAGACATCGAAGAGACGAAAAGACGAGACGAGTGACAAATCGAAACAAGGAAATGACACGAGGAAAAGGCGTAATTAAGAACTGGTGGACGAGACGACTGAAGGAAGCAACGAAGTGACACAAAGAAACGACGAAACAACGAAACGAGGAGTCGAACATGTTGTCCACGATTTGACTTCATATATACATACAGCCTTGACGCTTATTACAGTAATGATCTTTTAGAACGGAACAGATAGTTCACATGCATTACATATATGGGGCAACGAGACTAGCAGAGAGAATGTTATTTTGTGGGAATTGAGATGACGCATGGAAATTAAACAGTCAAGAGATACAGCAGTACAAAAAGTAGAAGGCAGAAAAATGGCCTATCATTTGTATGATAGAATGTAAAACATTTCAGACCAATAAAATCACTCATGATTTAAACTCTGAAAGCAATATCAGAAAAAGTCGCGTCTTTCACTGTTTAATTGATTTCAAGCATTATCAGCTCATGCCTCAATGGAAGCCAAAAGTATAGTCTCGTTTTGTGTTTTTGATCTAAACAATAAACTAACCACAAAAAAAACACAAGATGGCCCATTGGTCTGCAATTTATGTCAGTGCCTCATTGATAAATGGCGGGCTCTGTAAATATGCGATCTTTGATATGGAGAATAAGTAGCTCACAAACTTTGCTTTTGTCTCTCTACCTCGCAGGTAATCGCTTACACAACACTCACGTTGATAGTCATATCTGTGATTTTGTTTTGTTTGGAGTCGTTAACGTTTTTTCGAGATGGTAAACCACAGCTCTCACTTGAAATCCTTGAAGGAATCTGCGTGGCTTGGTTTACCCTGGAGTTGTTGGTTCGCTTCATCTTTTGTCCGCACAAGTTGGCGTTTTTTAAAAAGGTCATGAACTGGATCGATTTCCTGGCGATTGTGCCTTTTTACATCAGCTTGGGTTATCCATCAGAATCTGATGTGGAGATCCTTAACATCATTCGATTAATACGGATTTTCCGTATATTCAAACTTTCACGGCATTCGTCAGGGCTTCAAATTCTTGGGCACACGTTGCGGGCAAGCGTGCGCGAGCTTCTTCTTCTAATATCATTTCTCTTAATTGGAGTGGTGTTGTTCGCTAGTTTGATCTATTACTGGGAGAAAGACGCTGAAAATACAAAATTCACTGACATTCCTAACTGCTTTTGGTGGGCCGTTGTTACCATGACAACTGTCGGATACGGTGACATGGCGCCCACTACCACAGTAGGCAAGTTTATCGGCAGCATATGCGCAGTTTGCGGTGTGTTGACAATTGCACTTCCGGTTCCTGTGATTGTAAATAACTTTTCACTGTACTACTCTCACGCGCAAGCGAGGCTCAAACTGCCCAAGAAGCGGAGAAGGCTTCTCGTGAACGCATCGAATGCTCTGAAAGCTTCAGCGGTGGTCGAGAACGGAATGAGCGGGGATTCTAAAGGAAGCTCCGATAGTGGCTGCGGTGAAAATAGCACTTCAAATGGAGGGCGAAAATGTAGCCTTCTCATCACAGATGAACTTAATGAAATTAAGCCACGGCGACCGGTTAGAAGAGATAGCCATCTGTTTAACAACAGTGCAGCGTCTTCAAACGGGGACGTACCTACCAATCGGCCAACTTACGCCATGCAGAAAAGGACCTCTATGAGACCAACGGTACCTACACTACCGGAAATTGAGTGAGCCTGAAGAGACTAAAGCTGGTACGTACAGTCCTTTACTGCTAAATTCCCCTTAGAATTGCTTATCACTAAAGACCTTACTGGGTGGATCTGGGGTAGGGCAGATGGGTTCCTACCTCCCCGCTTCAAATATCATCAGATCATAAAAGACATAGACCTAGTTTTTTTGTTCATTAACTCAGTTAAAGAACTTTTAAACTGCAGTTTACGGTAGCAATAAAAAAAAAAAAGTTTTTAATCACGATCACGGGATTATTAAATTGCCACAAATGAGATTTGATTTACTAGAAAACATTGGAACGGCGAGGAAGAGGAAAGGGGGAATTTTCAACTTTAAGTCAAGTTCGGACCGTCCGAAACAGATAAGTCCTGAATGGGCCCTTGCTTTAGGCTCAGTCTAAAGTTTCGGGCGAGAGTTCAAGGAGCTAACACTGATTTCATTTGGTGAAATACGTTTTAAAGCGTCATGTTTCACTGGAATAGTTACTCCAAAATATTTCCTTTAATGATTTAATGTAAATGGTAAAAATCATTAGAATTTCATCCCCAGACTCAAAATGGAGAACCACCTTGCACTCATGATAAATAGTACCACAGAAAAGTACCTCTCAATAGCTTTCATTTGAGTGGTCACACTTTAGGACCTAATTTCTTGGTATAAGAAGATCACGAAAGCAGCGCGATAGATGCTGGCGTCCGCTTGGGCACAACCTAATATTTTTTTTATGCCCAATCAGAGACAAGCATGTGAATGAGATGTGGAACTGGTTTTTGAGAGTAGCATTCTTTCGTCTGTTCTTGAAAACTGTCGCCGCCATTTTTCCCGACCCGACAGACCACCCCTGGGCCCGTCCTCGGGGATGACGTTAGGATTGTTTTCACAGACTCAAAAACTAGAACCACCTTGTACAGCATATCCAAAAATACCACAAGAAAGTGCTGTTTGAATAGAGCACCACACAGTTGCGGACTTCTTTTACACACTACAAAGTTAAAACATGTAAAGGCATGCATTGAGTTGAAACTCAGCTATATGCTAGGTTAAGTGACTGGTTTCATAAACTCCTGCAGCATTCCCCTAACTAACTAACTAACTAACTAATATATTTATTACGTCATAGGGTATGGAAAGGCGCCCATAGGCAACGTCTCAACTCCAGAGAACTTCACCAGCGTATAACAACATAATCAGTCGCTAACCGAAGCTATTCCTGACAGAACCGGTAGGGAGCGAATACACTTCTAACAGAATTCACGAAAATCCGCGACATTCAAAAGGAAGAAAGTCAGAGGAAAACTATTTTTAAATTTAAGGACAGACCATAACTCGCTCACCAAAGCTATTCCTGACAAAGACTGGGAGCGACTACACTACGAACAGAATTGGGTTAACTCAACACCAGTTTAAAAGAAAGAAAACCAGAAGAGCTTATTTTAAATTTATACTCAAACTATTTATTTTGAGAGATTCCAAATCGGAGGCCTTGTTTTCATCGTTTTTCGCTGGCGAAATATGTTAAAATCACTATGTTAGGAGCCCATAAAATGGTGGGGCTTTGGTAAATACAGTAATAACATTTTACAGTAATCGAAGATCTTTATATGTCTTCACTTATATCAGACAAGTCATCGTGTGAATATTTATTTATTTATTCACGTATATATTTATTTCCAGTTATTTTGGGCATATGATTTACTTTGTTTCAAAAAGATCAGTGATCTGAAAATTTTTTCGAGAAACAAAGTTCAAATTTAAATAATTATGTGAATCTCATTATAGTTTTGTATTAAGCCGATGGCATGCAACAATTTTTACTTGTTTGTGTCTATGCCTCAGAAAGTTTCAAACGATATACATATATCTAGCCCGGCGGGTTATTGAAAACATTCGTATTGGAGCCATTTGAATAAAAAGAGGCCAGAAAGGCATATTACTGGTATCCGATAAGCCCCAAAATCACGCTAAAGAAAGAATAAAAGAGAAAAAATAGAGCCGAAGCGAGGAAAAAGCAAGATGGTGAAAAGAGAAAAGTAATCAGAGGGTTGCATTACATATTGTTTACTTTGGAGAATATTTTAACGCAAAAACTGCTTTACGGAAGGAGTCTATTTTGGCAGTAACTTTTTCAAATACTCCTGCTAGATAACTCGGCATTCACGGTAAATAGTCTTCAGCGATGTTTCTTTCTCTATCAGTTATGTTTTCCTTCTTTTTCTCTTCATGAATTGTTAACGAGTTTGAGAATTTCATTTCAAAGACGCTATCACAAGTAGATTTTGATATCATTTACACTGTAAGTTAAATGCTGTATTTAAACTCATGATGTTTTATGACATTTAGATGTAATGTTTAGCACACGAGTAAAAGTGTTTTTGTAAATAAGTATTAGTCTTACTAACTGTCGTTTTATTAAACGCCTCGGACGTTTAATGTAGAGCGGTCCAAATGTCATACTTCTAAGGTTTTGAATTATTTTGGCGCTAAGAAAATTGGCACTGAACGTAAGCATCGTCTAGTATATCAGATATAGCGGTCTCTATGATCCAAGATTATTAACGTGTTTTAGTTTTCATTTACTGGGATGCGGATTTGTCTCAAAGACAGGGAGAAAAATGAATTACAGCAAATTTTGGCCATCGTTCATTACAAAGCTTAGAGAATGGCAATCAGATCAAATCTCATATCAGAGTGGTCTTTGTAAATGGTACTGATTTGAAATAAGAACTTCGAGAAGGACTTTCAGTACTGCAGTTGGTGTTTATCGTTCTGATGATAAATTTATTTTCGTGCAGGCAATATAGTCTAAGGTATTTTGTTTAGTAAATACGTTGAATTAACATTAAAGGATTAAAAAGGAATTTGTTTTCACCCGAAATCGGTTCATGAATCTGAATTGGAAAATAACGTGAAATGTGTCGGACAGTCTGGAAATTGAAATTAGTTTTTCTCAAATATAGGCAAACAGGCTACAGAAGTAGATTAGAAATGGAAATTAAAAAAAAAAAGTTCGTGGTCGTAACTGAAATTCGTCTTAAACTCTAATTGGTCGTTTTGACTTAGGCATAAACTCTAGTCTCAGCTGTTAAAGACCAACTGGAAGAAGAGAGAAAGTAGCGACAAACATAAATGAATCTTGTAACCATTGGGTACCTTCTTGGTCTTGTCTTCGGCAACCTGGTTCTCAGGGTATACGGGATCGTATGGCTGACTAATATTTGAGGCAGTGTTAACAAAGGCACGAAAAATGAACTGACGAGGCCATGGATATAATTACATTCGATAATTCATTAGTGTTATGAATTCATGAGAATAAAAAAAAGAATTTGTATGTAGTCTATGATGTAAATAGTGCAAATAGTGTAAAAAGATAGTTATCCAAAAATATTTTCTTAGTTAGATAGCCAGGCAATCTAACCATCAAAGTCCATGTAGCATGTTTTTTTAGTTGTTAGAAGGTGTTAATTGTTGATTTCAATAAAACATGATAAACAGAAATGTACGCCAATGTTTTTGCTGACGTGTTTCTTTCACAGTGCAACCGGGCCAATATTAATCTATAAATTCGTTAGACGTGGATAGCCAACTTTTTTTCACAGATATTATTTTACAACTGCCAGCCATCTGTCTTAAAACTAGTGATATCGCCATGAGGTTTTAATTGCGATGATACTTAAAAGCGAAAACGTTGAGGACATCTTGCTCCCCGGGTTGAGCAAGCGGCAAACAAGCAAGAAAGCAAGTGTAATAGCCGAGCAAAAATGTGAAAAGTTTTGTAAAGGAAAGTTGAAAAATAGGAGTAAACATACCAACCATGAAGAGAGAGCATATCAACTATCTCCTACAGGTTAACCCACCCCAAACCAGGGGAGAGGGAAGGTGGGGAGGGGGTGGGGGTCCTTACCACTCAGTGTCTTTGCGCTCTAGGGGCGAACATGTTGTCGCAATTAAAAGTCAGTGACGGTGTCACTAGCTTTGAGCGGATCAGCCTGCGAGTGCAAGTCCTGCGGGGTGCCCTGGCCGGGGGAGGGACAGATAACAATTATAGCAACTAATGAATTCCAACCAGACAGTTAAAGGCCCGCACCTGCAATTCACTCTGGTTGAAAGTCATGGTTTGCTCCCTGTAATATGCTTGCACTCTCCATGTTTACGTATAGTAGTTAAGGACAAAACTTTTGAGAAAGTTCCGTCTATGTAATAAATGTATTTATTTTAGCGTATGCATTTTTGACAGGATGACCGAAAAGTAATTCTTTTGTTTAATGGTTCTCAACCGGTTTTATCCGAGGTTGGAGCTTTTTCGGCTCTTCGTGGCCTACTTACTCTCCTTCTACCTTAGTACTTTAATTAATAATTTATTCAATGATGCGTGGAGAATAAGAATAATTTTAATTTCGTCAAAAATGGCCAGTTTATAAGTCCGTGTATATCAGTCAAATGTAACTGAAACATCCACTTTTAAAGCTCTACTTTTTCGCAGTTTCATTATTTACAAAAAGTTCCTCTTTTTCGGCGATTCAAAACTCATCATGGAAAGATTTTCCAAACTCAGTTGCCATGCTTCCAGCAAAGAATTCGTGGCTCATCACAAACTCGTCCGCTGTCAATTTTCCATCCTGTATAACACAGAAAAAGAGATTAAAAATTGCTCAGTACCGTTTAATTTGCACCTTGGAAAATTGTTTGAATTAAAAATTATGGGTTCATTGGACAGTTTCAGCCATGAGGATGACGGACATGGCAATGCGACTTTACTGAGTTGTTTAGTGCATTCGTTCTCTAGAAAATTATCGCGATTATTGTAAATGTACCTTGCTCAATTCGTCTAATGCAAGCTCAACAATAGAGAGCTTTAGATTCGAGGACGAGAACGACATTTAATTTTAAGTTTTTAGCCTATTCTTTAAAAATAGACACCCCGGAAAGCTTCATTGTACTTTTTTCACCACCAAAGTTAGCACGCTTATTTCCGTTGTAGGAGGTAAAGCGCTCTCCCGATCGCTAAATGATAAAATTCCTAACATTTGATAACTTTTTTTCGCCACTACGACATACTCACTAAAACTCGTAGTAGAATGACGATTGCTATCACATTTTCCCGCCAAAATGAGGTTGGTTCGCGCGCGCACACTACTTACCTAGTATTGAGAAAATCTCGTACCCGTTGTCGTCCTTTAGAATCTAAAGCTCTCTATTTTTCCGGAGTTTACTGCTTAGCTGCCACATTCAAGTTTAGGAAGGTAAAAAAGACTCCGAATTATCTTCGTTTGTTTTGTTCCTACTCGTAAAACTCCACCCTCCTAGAAGTGAAGGGAAAGAATCAACCAAATAAGGTTATGCACATGCAGAGTTTTTTTTCCTTCACTCGACCTGTATATTGCTTTTTGATGTTGCCATTGTAGCCGCTTCAAACAACCTAAATATTTTAGCTTCAAATGGAATAACGCACGTTACGGCGAAGCTTGCGAAAAAGGCAGACCGGATAATAAAGATGATTCCCGTTGTTTCAGACTCAGTTTGTCAAGTGTTTACTCAGGCAAAAGCTTCTTAATGACTGCTTTATTTAATTAATTTAATTAATTTTATTGACCTTTGTCTTCTTTTATCATTGTTATATTCTTATTGTCATGTACTTGGTTTATAATTTTGTAATGTAAAATTGACTCTGAAAAGCCCCGTGGGGACGAGCCAATAAAGTATGTATGTATGTATGTATTTCCCTGCAGCAGGGTTGTAGCGTATGATTTTGAAAGTGTACGCATGGAAAGAAAAGTTAGAGCGCGGAAGGCACTCCAAAGTGGGGCGGGGGGTGGTCTGGGGGCATGTTCCCCCAGAAAATGTTTTAATTTAGAGTCGTGGAAATGCCATTTCCTGCGTTTTTCGTTGGTCATTTTCAATAAATAAAATGCAGTCCTTAGTTTTTTTGTTTTACTCACCTCTAGTGTTATAATAAAAGGATAATAAAAGAATAAAGGAAATACTGGCAAAAAGACACCAATATTATGTGAAAACTTTACCCGTTATCCCGATTTAATGATAAAAATGCTTCCTGGAAAAAAAAAATTCCCAGATTTCAGCTGTTCGCGCGGGCGTATGTGTGTATATGGACGCTACGCTCCAGTGCAGTAGGATTCTTAGCCTGTCAACTGCCTTGAAGTTCATAAGGAAAAAGAAAATTTGTCGTCCTGCTGCTATCTCTGTCCACCATAAAAAGTCATGTACATTACGTATTCTTGCGCATGCGCCGTATTTTACCAGTGACGGCCGCCAAATTGCTCTTAAAGTATATAAATACAGCGTTGTTGTTTTGCCCACTAAATCTACTGTTTTTTTCTACTTTCTCGACGCAGTCGGAGTTACTTATATAATGAACCAACGTAAAGCCGTTCTGATTTGTGCTGAGATGTAGCGAGGCCGAGAACTAAAAGCGAAAATACGTTAACGTGGTTTCCAATTAAAGCATTATTCCACTAGCAAATGCAATGCATCAAAATTGGCAAATATGGTGTTTGTTTCATGTCAGGAAAGTCATGCTAGTAAATATTATGAGACTGAAGAACATGTACGAATTAATGCCCACAATAAAGATCAGTATTAATACCTTATTCATATCGGCGTTTTCTATCAAATGTTGAGCTTCTCCTAGTGCTTTGTTGAAATTTTTTGGTCTTCTCCACACCTCTACTTCTTTCTGCAAAAGGAATAACACAAATTCAAGCTCTCATCAGCCTTTGTAGTTAAGCTATGTGTTTCTAAAATCACCAAGATGGTAAAGAATGAAATTCCTTCTCGCTGTTTAAGCGAATAGCAAAAACCGTGAGTTATTTCAAGTACCACATACGCCACACTGTTGGAGTAAGCGTTCACTTAACTTGAGTCATTCCTGTACTCTCGTCAACGAGTTTATCAAGCAGAAAAATGGTCATTACTCATGATAACTCGGCTGCGGACAAGTTTGTTATTGGGATCAATATTTATCGACCTAGTTTTGTCTTTTGTTCGTGACATCACATCCTAAAGCCATTCAAGGTGTATTATAACAGACACTGATTCCAAAAGTCAGAACTGAGTGGCCGGCCGGACCATGACTGGACCAGTCATGGCTGGATGGTTTTAATTAAAAGTGAAATTCTCATTACGACGGGTATAGTCTGGCCTGTCAGTTCTGACAAGCCGAAAGCGCGCTGAGAATTACGATGTTATGTTGCTCAGGTCCGGTTCCTAAGCTGTAGCTAACATGAGCCAAATCGAATTCGATGAATTAGTTCATGTAAAGTACGGCATCAAAATCAGATTCAAACATTAATTGAATTTGGATTGGCTCAGCCGCTCTTCAAACCTGGCTCAGCCGGTAATAACGGCTAAGTGAGGACCGGTGTTGATTCAGATCGAACTTCACATAAACCTAACCAAATGATGTATTATTAATGCTTTTGATTTTTCTCCTTTTCAACTCAATGCAGCTGGAATGAATTCAGCCCTTCTAAATCCGAATTTGAATGTGAAGCACTGCGTCGATCGATCAGTGACGGCGTCTGATCATATTATACTTTGTATACGATACTAACTATCGTATACAAACTCTCGATACAGGATATAGAGGAATACTTAGTATCGTATAAGTGTTCGTTTTCACATGTACAAAGTAAGCTGGTATTGGCCAAAATCCGATTATCGGCTTCGGTTACTCTTCAGTGGTAATTCATCTTTTCATTTTGTCTTGTCAAGTCTGCTCGAAAGGTTTTTTAAAGTGCCATACTTACGAGATTGAGGTATCCGTCGTGGTCTGCATCATAGTGCTCATTAAATTCTGTAATATATAACGAATTAAAGGACCCTGGCATGTTGATATAAGCTGCAATGTAATAGTTAACTTCATGATTAGTTTATCTTGATACGAAGCGAACAACAGGTGCAGAAACACAGTCATGGCAAAGAAACTGAAGTGAGAATGTTCTAGATAATTAAAAATGTGTCCGTTTACTTACCCAAATACTCTTTAAGGGAGAGGCGACCATCTTGGTCCTTGTCGTATTGATCCATTAATTCCTACCAGCAATAAAATGTCAAGTGAGGACTGATAGGTCCAGTTGCGAGAATGGTAAATGAACAAACTTTTGTTCTAAAGTAAGCACTATTTTTTTTAGGGTGTTAAAAAGATTTAGGGAAAGGTTGCTCATGTTCTCATACAGTTAAGATTTTTCGCAGAATCACACTGCATAACTAGCCGAATTACTAGAAAATAGACGGCACTCTGCGTCAGCGTAAAGGCACTGAAGCGGCCAAGGCAAAAACATGGAGGTCCAGGCCGCGTTTCATCATAGTTCACAGTCCCGTCCGCAGTACACGCATACAAAATATGGACCCCCAGAAATGGACCCCTTTGTGGACCCGGTCTATGGACTTCCCCTGTGGCCCACCCCTAATTTTTGAAGATGAATTTTACCAGAGGTCTAAAAGAATTCTAGGAACCTTTAAAATAATGGACGAAACTTCTGTCAGTTTATATTATCAGGCTTATGGGCTTCTCATATTATACTGCACCCGTTCAAATTTTCTTGAATTTGGTACATGGATTCGGTTTATCTGGTGAAAGAATAACAATATTTGTGGTAGGGCGGAAGAAGTCTCCTGCGCAACCCTCCCCAGACTTTCCTTCTCTTGATGGCCCATGGAAATGTTTTTTCATTTGGCAAACTTATTCACTCCTGCTTACAGATCAAGCACGAATAACTTGCATATAACTGTTATGTCCCGAAGCTTGTCAAACATCTGTCCAACCACAATGTTTGAAAATATTCAGGTCATTTTGTGCTTGTTCCGTAAGGAGAATTAATCAATAACTTTGCTGAAGGGCTATCATGGGAAGGGACGCCTGGGGAGGGTACTAAATGATCATACGTTACTTCTTCCTGTTAGTCACGCAATGCGTTGACACTCACACACAAAAAGCTGCATTGGAGGCTAGTGTGGCCCTGTTAGGGTAAAATTCCGACAAGCGACATGGACTTACAACACCCCCCCGGGGGGAGGGGTTACTTAGGTTAATTTTTGCTGGGTATGTGCCGCTGGCCTCTCAGAGCCTCTACCCCATTATAGTTTATTCTGTGGCCAATTATAGACCCCATCTTAGTCACTTTTGGGCAAATATGTAATTTTCGCGATCCCACCTTCGTCACTTTCTATTTATGTATCTACCTTATACTGAATGAAGTAGTTTTCACCTACAGTATAAAAATTCTGTTTCGTTTGCTAACTGTAAATACGAAGAACTGTCTTACCCCTAAAATCAGAAAATGAGCGACCCCATTCTAGTAATTCTATTAAAAATGCGTCCCCATTATAGTCAATCCAGTCGTGAAAATGCGACCCCATCCCGCGGCACATACCCATTAGCCCCTTATAAGGAAGAACCCCCCCCCGAGTTGCAACAGTGACATAGGACAACAGAAAAGACGACAAACGACACAAAGATGGGTTGAAACTGCCATGTCACAGTGACAGAGAAAAGCGCAAGTACAATAGTACAATATCCACAGCAACACGGCTTCCTCCAACCTCGTCCCCAGGAATTTTCCCTTAAAAAATTTTTTAAGGGAAAAGCCCTGGGGACGAGGTTGGGCTTCCTCCTCTTCTACGCGAAAAGACAGGTTTTGAAATTCATACTAGTGGGGCATACGTAAGTGGGCTTCACTGTTACTCCTTCACCAGACTAACCCAAACCCTTTACATTGGTATGGAATTCAGGACAAGTTTAATGGAACAAGTCTATAATACGAGGAGTCCATAATCCTAATAGTAACGATATATAAAATTTATTGACAAAGACTCTGATTAGACCTCATGTTCAAAAATTAGTGGTGGTCCACCCGAGTAGTCCATGGGCCGGGTTCACGAAGGGGTCCAAGGACTAGGCCCACAGGGGAATTTCATGGACTGGGCCGGTGTGTATATGTGCGTCGGCAGTACCTGTTTTGTTGTTATTTTTGCTGATCGCTTTAAAAGGCCAGGTTATCAGCCAAAATGGCGGCCGGACTGGAATAGAAGTCAGAAAACCCTTTCTTTCGGCCTTTATTTGCTGCTGAAGCGGCGCTTTCCAGTCAGTTTGGACAAAAATGAATATTGGATTTGTGCAGTTTTTCATAAAATTTGGGTAACCGGTGGAAAACGTCTGGATGTGGTAATTTTTGCCTTGGAAAGTATCAATACCAGACAATGTTTTCAACGTCGGCACTCGGCGAGAAACAGACGTAAATAAACTTGCAAGAAGAAGAGGAAGAAGGTAAGCTAACTCCTAGTCTTTACGAAAATGATAGATATTAGAAGAGGTAAGTATACCTGGCCTTTTCAAATACAAAGTTAGTGGCGGGTCATACATTGCCCTGAACCTGCTGAGAAACAGCGGTCATTTCGCGGGGAAACAAGTGGTGGTGTCGTGAAATGTCGGCTGTTTTCTTAGGCTAGCATTGCCCTAGTCTCCCTCGCAGTCGTTTTTTGGATGTCACGCAACGCTCCCCCAAAATAGTAATATTCTTTTGGGCGCTGCGTGACATCCAAAAAACGGCTGCGAGGGAGACTATATAAGCATTGCCCCTGTGTTTTTCTAAATTTACTTTTTAATGAAAATGCTGCGATTGACGCTCTTTTCATTGAGAGGTACGCATTCGGAGGGCAGCGTAGTCAGGAGATCATGTTGTTATCTGAACTTGTTTATGAGTTACAAGAAAAGAAGTCGAAGAGGCTGAAAATGTGATTTACGTATTCACCTACCACAGCTACATAAGGCAGCATGATTTCATGTTCTTTCGGATGATAAAAGAACTCGAACTCCTGTCTGTTCAACATTCCATCCTTATCTTGATCACTGTATCTCCACTTCTTCTTGTCATACAGAACATACTGTTCTAGGTTTGATCGTTCCCATCTATTGTGCATATCTGTGAAAAAATCAAAGTCAGTGGATTAACAACCAACAGAAAAAAAGGCAACAACAACGGTTGGAGTCCATGGCCTATTATCTTTGTATCATTAAAGTAATATCCTTTTTAACAGCAATAACACTTAGACTTTGATTTTTTTAAGACTCGCTTAAAACTCGAGCAAGTATACTAAAACAACTGCGGACAAACTACCTTCGATTTTACATTGCCTAAACCACGTTCTGATGAAATTGTTTAAAAAAGCATTCGTGAACACAGCCTAAACTAGAGAGCTAAGCGTCGTTTCAGTTGTTTAACTTTTTCCTGGGATAGAATCGGTACTTCCTTTGCCTAGTTTTTCCTCAAAAAAAGAGAACGGTTCGTTGAAGATGTAGTCACTGCTTTTGTTCAAAACGCCTGTTCGCTACTCATTGTCTTTCACGCAAATAAATATAATAGCGAGTACGTTAGTCAATTAGACTGCAGAATTTGTGATAGTACACTAGGTAGTTCATAGTATTTTCTTCTCACAGCTGTTAGTAGTTCACTTTCCCCAGTTTAATACATGTTGGCTTTCTGCTGATAATTCTTAAGTCACGTTAGTGAAGTGTCCGCATATAAAGCCTGCATGATTTTGAGCATAATAGTGAGGCAAAAGAATCGAATATTATTCTGGATTAATAGCCCAACCTTTTTTTGACTCGTTGCGTTTTGTAAAAACTTCGCCAAAACTATAGGATTTCTATATACAGGAGCCTATATAAGACACAACCAAAGAAGACATGTCAGCATTTTAAGACCCGGCCTGAAAAACATGGCTTGCATTAGTTCCAGTTCTACCACGTTGTCAGACACCTCCTAACTAAGATGATTCATTCTACATTGTTTGTAACAATCGAGCGAAGAAAATCATGAAAATAGCAGTTTTATGTTTATTATATTGGAGCATAATAGTGATCCTATTTGAGCATATTAGGAGCGTCGCTGCTTAAATTCCTTATTAGCGACATCTATCGAGCATGAAAAATTAGCATAATCTGAATGTAAAACATTCAAGTGGACAAACCTAAACGTTAGCCTTTCTTGTTGAAACTAATTAGTCGTAAACACAGACCTTCTTCTGTGAATCCAAAGCTTCTTGTCATGTACTCTTTCCACGAGATCTTGTCATCCCCATTTAGGTCTCTATCTCTAAATATGGCATCTACATCTTCGTGCACAGTCCACTTCTGCATTTTATGTCGGATCCAGATCTCCAGTTCGGCTTCCTCTACGAAGCCATCTTTGTTGATGTCGATCCTAGGTACCAACATTCTGTTGATATAAAAGATTGAGGCTCTAGAAACCCTATACTGAATAAGTTTAGTTAATTGTCAGGGAAGAGAGTGTTGCCCCTCTAAACTTTCTTTCTCGGCAAATATTGCTTGCCAGACGCAAATTTTGAGTAGAAACTAATACTTTCATTTTACCCTGCGAGCAGAGGTTTCTTGCTGGCATGGCTTTAAGCATCAACTTCGTAAATGCTTAAAGCCATGCCGGAAAGAAACTCTAGTCTGCTCGTAGGCTGCTCCCATATTGGCCAAATGAGAGGAAAAATGGTTTTTTCACTTTGATGAATTTTTATACGTAGCTAAGCTGAAAAAAGATGCTTCTCATCGAAGAGTTTTAATATGCGATCAGGAAGCAGGGTTTAATAAATTATCAGCACACTAACAGACTGCTGTGCAAGCCGTTTTAATGATAAATAATAAACTTAAGCATTTGATAGATGATCAGTGTTTTTGAAGTTTTGTTGCTAAAAAACAAAGAGGAGACACCAACTACGAGATCTCGTAAGGCCACCCAAAGATTAGCTAGTACTTATTTTGGTTCCGCAAGAATTGGCCTTTTCGGCTTCTTTTACCGACGCTAGAAGTGACGTTTTCATTTCCCAATTTACAGAACTTCTATTCTCAGCGATTCCTGTAAACTTTAGGTAGTTACCGCTGACCAGTTTTTAACGCGGTAACAGGACTTTCAAATGACCAAGACATGGTTATACTGGATCATTGCCTGTCTTTCAAAGTTGACTTATTTGCTCGTTGCCACTCTGACGTTGTTGTCAATGTTGTGTGATTTTGGAGCGAACCCGGTACATTATTTCTAAAAGAGTCACATGGTAACTTGAAGATTACGCCTGTGTTTAATTTAGGCGAAATTGCAACAAACTAAGAGGTATAATGATAAAAAAGGCATAATAAAAATTGCTTTGGACTGTACAGGCTGTATGGAATGCTTGCCCTTATTTTAGGTTCCGTACACTTTTACAGGTTTCTTCTTCTTTTGAGTTATTTTTAATAGGTACTGGCATTAAAGGACATTATTTTGTTGATGAAACAAAAAAAAAGCAGCTAATAGTATTCAAATTTACCTTGTAAAGTCCAAGCACTCTTTAGCAGAGACCCTCGCAAGGCAGAACAAGTGTCCTTATTCGAGCTGGCTATTTACAGGAATAATTTTTGCAAGGAGAAAGTTAAAATGGGATTTCGTCTAGGGCAGCCGTAAGTAGAGCTTTTCTGCGCCTTCGAGGATCTCCATTGAGAGTGCTTCGACTGTAATAATCGCACCGCTAATTTTATATATTACTACCAGTTGTCTCATTTAATGGTAGGGTTAGAGTTTTTCCAATTGACTTTTGTCTTCGGTGATAATATCGCCCGATATCGTGTTACCTGTCAAATGATAACCAATCAACGCACGACCTTTTAATTTTCATAACTGGTTATATTTATATTGAGGTGTAAGCAGACTGGTAACGAGATCTTAGTGTGCTTTCTATTGAATGAGCTTCAAAAGACGCATTAATTTTTGTAATATTTGAGCAGCTGTCGTTTTATGAACAGGAGAGGTATTTGGTATAATTATAACCAAGCGTAAAAGGTTTTTCACGGGTTAAACTATTTTAGGAGAGTTCGTTAAAATTTCGGCTTTGCGCATTTTTTTTATTGCAATCAACGGTAATTTTAAACTTAACGCCATAATTCTGGATTCGAAGAAATCCGCGCATGATGGTATTTCTGCTGGGTGTGCGGTATTTGTTAAAATTGAGACTGCGGATACGAGCTTTTACGATTAATAGAATGATTTATAGTCCGAATTAAATTATTGCGAGAGAAATGTCCTAGAATAGCCGAAAGGCTTCTCATTAAACGCAAACCAGTTTATGTGTGAGCAAACGTAATATTTACTCGTAGACCACGAGCACAAACATGTGCATAACTTAATATCATATCCAGGCTTTTAACGTACATTGATTCATAACTGATTATTTTCATCACTGATTCATGACGGAAAATAAAGTTAGTTGTTAATAAACTTTACCAAGTCAGGCAAAACTTGTTTCATTTCATATTTTTGAACAGCATTGTATATAGCGTATGAATCAGTCGTAAGTTTTGAACACATTATGTGTTTCTGAGACAGCCTTTTTTTCAGGGTAATATTTCAAGTGTAAGATTTCTAACAAATTCCTAAATTCCTTGATTTTCATAAAAATGCATTTAGGGAAGGCTTTGCTTTAAAATCTATTAAATTTCTGCTTCAACTTTCTAACGGGGTTACAGAATACCTACCTGAGCCGTCTCCTAGACTCCTTCGGCGTAAGTTTTTCAAACTCCTTGGCGAGCTCTTCTCCGAGAAAAGCGATATGGTCTTCATGGCTGCTATGTGCTCGGCCGTCATAGTGGTGTTCAGAATGAGTTAAGGAAAACTCGGTCAGCAACAAGAGCAGAACCAAAGCAACAAGGACACTTATCCACTTACACATGCTGCGATGTTAATGGCTGGTGAAGAGGATATTATATTAAAATAGAGAATATCGGCTTATTTTCTTTGTTTATTTTCTTAGTCGTGTTTAGTCAGCTGTGACTCGTGGATCAATCACAGGTGCGCCACGTCCATTCGTCCCAGGTCTTCCAGTTCTGTGTAGCTAGAGAAGTATGGGCATGAGAAACGAAAGCACAAAAGAATAACAAGTCGTTTAGTTTATCTTTCGCCTTTCAACATTAACTGATCTAAAATTTCACTCTTTGATCAGTAAATTGATTTCTGTTCAGAGGATTTTCTGGTGAAATCAAAGCTGAGAGAAAATATAAGATATTAAGTAAAGTTTTCTGGCCGTCGCCATGGTCTTGACATCTTAAACTCCGTATAAAAATAATTATCGCCCATTTTACGATGAATTTTACAGAGTACAGAGTTCTTTTTTCTCAACATTATCTTGCAATTTTGTCATCTTTTCTCTGAAAGCTTGTTCCCTTTTCGTTTACTTTCGCATTTTAACTTTTCTCTCCGTCGGTTCATTTAAAAATTGCCAATTTTGCAATGAAAATCAGTCGGTTTTAACGGGACTTGTTCGTGTTATACCGAATATTTATAAACACATACACTGACTGTATTAATGAACTCGAGGTTCTTGGCTAATGAGCGGCAATTGGGGATCAGGATAAGTCTGCGTGATATATTTTGTGTTTCTGGTTGCACGAAATCAGTGAAGGGTCATTATTATTCATTCAAAATATTTCCCCGATTCTGGTTGGCTAGAAGCACTCGCATAATTCGCTATAACCAGCTGCTGATGACCGAATTTGAAAGAATTTTGCGATTGATCAACCGATGACGTCAAAAGCGCAGCTTCCTTGCAGGTTAATGCACCGTTAACCGAGAAGACCTGAGGACGAGGTTGCCGTTGTTTTGGTTGTGAAAACAAAAATGTCGGACACTTTACTCGTTTCAAGAGTAAGAACTAGGGGAAAAAATAGCTAAAAACATGGCAAGAACAGTAAGAAAACAACTCGAAGGTCGACATCTGCTATTTGGAGAATATTTGCGGAGCTGGACAACCCTATGCACTATCGAAGATATGAACTTAACATAGATGGAAGTAAGCGTGTTTTAGCTATGTTTTTAAACTAGGAATTATTTTGAATGAATAATAAAACAATTATTGACTTTCGTATCGGAAAAATTATGGAGAGCTCGGAGGGTGTTATAACACCCTCCTCGATCTCCATAATTCTTCATAAGATACTCAGTCTCATTCATTAATTGTTAAGTAAAACGAACATCCGGGAAAACTGAAATTTTCTCTTAACTTCTGCATTTGAAAAATATATTGTAAAGCATTGTGAATTCACTAATGTTTTCTTTCATGTCCCCAAAAAACCCGCCGCCCGGTTAGCTTAATTGGATAAGCACCGGTGTGCCGAGCGGGAGGCCGCTGCTTCAAACCCCGGCCGGATCAACGCTCTGGGTCTTAAAATAAGTGCTGCCTTTGTAAGGACATCTGCAAACGGTTAGACTCTCTAGTCTTCTCGGATAAGGACGTTAAACCATAGGCCCC